CCGTACATATGGCATTGCTCTAACACCCAACGGAGTGTAGAGATGTGGACAACGTAGCCTCCACCCGGTAGAAATCCCGCTGGATTCTCACCAGTCAAGGGTTCACGAGTCACCAAAAGACGTCAGAGAATCAGTGACGCCAGAAGTCTTGTCACCACAGGGGTCAAACTAACACTCTGTGGTTACCACATTCACTACGAGTATCCTTTTTGAAAATGGGCACCACTACCGATTCGCTCCAGTTGTCTGGGACGGGCTCTTTCCTCCAGATAGATCCAAATAGGCTAGAAAGCGTTCAGCTGTAGCACCCTTACGGTGCCTAGCTGCCATGCCACCCGAAGGAAGCACGAGGGATAGGATACTGCCAGGTTGCCCAAGCCTAGACAGGTGAAGTCGAGTGGCGGAGGTCGGATTTGAACCACGAACCTTCCGGTCGGTAAATTCGCACTCTAACCACTTGGGCCATCTGGCCCAAATAGGCTAGATAGGTACTGGCTGAGAACTCCACCAACATCCTTGAAGAGAGCAGGTGGAAGGTTGTCAGGACCAGCAACACGATGACACTTGAGTACAGAAATACACCAGGACACTTTTGAGACTGAAGGCGGCTCCATATTTACGGTCTACCTTTCTGTTGAAGGTCAGGATTCTGGATTGGAGGTAGCAGGTGGCCAGCTGAATTACTGCTCAAAGTACTGTGCTCAGATGTCCAAACGTTCTATTTTGCTGCATATCAGGGAGCCATTTTGGTCCCTGATTATTTCGCTGACAAGTGGTTTCCGAGGGCCAGTCGAACGAATCAAGTGGAACAGCTTGCGGGCTTTTCCAGTATTCTTTGCATTTTCCATTCCTTCGGCCTTTTGGGTCCACCAAGCTTCTCGGTATGCACGGATACTGAGTTTCACCTGGCGTCGGATGATACATCAAGTGGAGTTGTGATTGTGGCCAGGAGGGATTTGTCGCCAGGTCTCCAGCAGACTCGCTCCCGTCAAAGATCCAGTGTCTGGATGAGGTTAGCTGGGTTGTATCGCAAACACACTTTCCGCATTTGAGTAGCGCTTTGGATATCCTTTCCCAGTGGCCGTTTAGAGCCGACAACGGACAGTTTGGCAGGCATTCCAGGAGCTGGTTCTGATAGTTTAGTTTGAGTTCTGAGTCCACTAGCTTCGCAGTGGCCAAGTGAGGTGTGCGCGTTTTGCGTACACCTGAAAAGCGCAATGAAATGCACCAGTGTCCAAATGCACAGTTAGAGTCCATGCTGGTGTTTCAGAAGGAGCGACAGACGGTGACCGACCTTCACAACCGATAACTGACAGCGATGTGGTCTATTTGGATTCGGGGCTGGTTCGTTGGAGGGCGCAACGCTGTCAAGAGATTTCCGTTGTTCCGGGTAAAGGAAAGTGCGTGATAAGCACATATCTAAAGCAGGCGATCCCCGTTGTCCATGCGTGTCCAATCCTAGACGACCACCCAGTGGGGGCTCAGCATCGCTTGGTCCACTTACCTGGGCGTTTATATCACTAGCAGCGACAACGATATCTGAGCTTTTAGCCTGCTGTATAAGGGCACCTAGAGCGTCACAGAAACTGCCCTTAGCAGATTCAGAGCTGCAATCAGTTGGGGAGTAAGCATGTACAATAAACAGGGTGCGACGGGCCTGGTATCCTCTAGACTCTCTCACAGATATTGCCAAACGAACCGCACAGAGGCGACTGTCAACGGGTATCCAATCAAGCAGAGACGCTTCCGCTTGTTCGCTCAGTACAATACCCACCCCAGCATATCCAGCTGCAGCGGCCTCTGCATCACCAGAGGTGCGCAGCCGGAACCTGGAGGAGAGCGAGGGGGCAGTCAGTTCGATCACAGTACTTGCGTCCTTGTTTCTGACAGACAACATACATCAATACAGAGGGTATCCAGCGTACGCGCAAGAGCCACCTGCTGATCTGCTTGTTTCACTGTGCGAACATTGAAAGTGGCTAAGTAGACAGGCTTTCGGGGTTTGATAGCAGACTTCAAAGTTTTCTATAGAGGAGAATGTCGGTAGCTCAGTTAGCGTAGATGGTCGTTGGGTTGTTCGCTGAGCTGGGCAATTTGGTTTCAAACGTTTCGTCACCAATCTAGGTGACATCATCGGTGCGTAGTTGTGCGTAGCGGTGGGTTAGTGGCTGTGCGTTCAGTAGTGTTACGTGTATGTTGATTTAAGGGCTGGTAGCCGGGGATGACCTTTGACCGCGATTACTTATTCTGTCGGGTGGTTCCATTGGTTGTTCTTTTATCCCGTGCCTCTTTCGCCGGTTGAATTTGTGGCCTTCTTGGTCCTCGTCCTCGTGTATAGCTCGTGATATATACTGAACTACAACAGCAATCATCCAGTAAACCACAAAAAGAGCTGCGTCCAAACCTTGTTCAAGAGGGCGGAGACACTGCAGCACCACAGAACTACGGAAGAAGGAGGAAAACCATATATACAGAGTGTTCCAGGAGAATGGATATCCAAGGAGTTTTATCAAGAAAAGCTTGAAGAAGAAGGCATCTCAACAACAGCCACAGCAAGAACAAGCCACCAGGCAGGTAGTCCTACTTTACATCAAGAATATATCAGAACTCGCAACCAGATTATTGGCACAAAAAGGAATCTTCGTGGCTACTCTAAGGAAATTAATCTCTAGACCGAAGGACAACCGGGACAAAACCAAGAGGAACAATGTGATATACCTAATCGACTGCAACAACTGCAACAAACTGGGAAAAAATTATGTACACGAATAAAGGAACACAACGCGGCTGTCAGGAGGCATGACCCCCTGTCCTTGATATCCATACACGAGGACCAGGAAGGCCACAAATTCAACTGCAGTTCACTGCCGTTGCTGGTGTGCCGTGGCTGATATAGTTCTCAGCGCGCGGTACCACTGATTCATTCGTAGAAGGACTTTTTTCGACTTTTTGAGCTCAACCGGACAGTTTGAAATTATTCCGAACGCACGTACCAAGTAGATGTATTATGTAATGTTGAAATGTTTGCTGTTGCGGCCCGTGATAACAATGTACCCCTGCCTTGTTTTGCTCGCTGGAACGACTCGTCTTGTTTCCTGTATTTGAACATAAGGGACGTGGACCTCGTACTTTTTACAATTCGTAAAAGGCATGTGTGTAATAAACATTCTAATTCTGCTGTCCCTTTTAGCTTGCGTTTTTTTAGTTTGACCTTCATTTTGGCCATCTGATTGTCAGAATGAAGTGCAGTTGAACACTCTCCGATAAGCCATTCTGTTCTCCTTAGTGTGTTGTGGGTTTCAGTCTGATATGGTTTGCCTTTATGAAACCAACTTCTTTACCCCTTAGTTTATCCCCCACCGCCGTTCCAAGTTTCGACACATATCGCGCAGCAGTTACTTTGACCCCTAATACGCTCGTTCACTATCAGTCTGCTAGCACGCGAACTCCCTGAATACAATCGGGCATCCATTTTTGAAACCGCATGAACAAGTGAGGGCCTCGTCCTGACTAGCAGGTGGGATAAATCACTTTGAATTTTCAATATCACAAAAATGCAGTCGTTGAGGAAAGCGGTGCTTTGCTCTCATCGATTTTTATCGTTCTGTAGAATTAGAGACCTTTTGTTCATCTTAAGAATCATCATGATACGTAATTTGCTCCATCCTTTGACTTAACGTTCCATCTTAGAATTTTAATGTTCTACTTGTAAACTTTGAAGGACAGGTGTCCTGTCCCTGGGTGAATTTTGTACTCTCATGTGGGGTTATTATAGTTGGACCTTTTTCAGTTGCCCATCTGTCAGTTTAGTTTATCAGCCCTCTTCCTTTTTTCGTTGGTCAGGTATTACATGGACTGAGGAGACTCTCTTCGAATACCTTGAGAACCCCAAGAAGTACATACCTGGCACCAAAATGGTCTTTGCCGGACTGAAGAAGGCTGAAGACCGGGCTCATCTGATTGCCTACCTTAAAGAGTCTACCAAGTAGATATAGCTACCTTTTTCTCAGTATCGAAACATCCATCAGTGGTGGAGTCGGACCTGTGCTCGGTTTTATCTGTTGGCTTTGTATCTATGCTGCCCCTCGCCCTCTGAGTTGCAATTGATACTACCGTGGGTGGTACATTTTTTCGAGTACAGTTTCCACTGTATAGTGATATTAGATTACTTTTTGAACACAATACCTGTGTTTTGTACTGAAATTCTTCAGTTTCTTGGTGGGCGTCTGAAATATTTTGCGGTGGTTATGAAAGTTTCCCAATTTTGTGTTTCGAACATCTGATGTGTCCGACGCTTCTGACCGCAGTTACCAGTCCTTTGTTCCGTCCGCTACCTCAGGTAGCAGCAGTTAACACGAATTTTGAAGTCTAACAGTAGTTCTCTAGCAGATAGGGCCAGGGGACGGCTAACGCGTTTCTGTATGTAACTACAGTTGCGTGGCGGACTGAGGAGCCGCTGTGGTTGGTGCACCGGGCTGGATTGTGGGGAATAAAACTAGGTTCCCTGTATTTTTTGAAAATTGATCACAAATTGGGTACCCATGCCGTCGTACTCCGTTTTAACAAACTGGATGTCAGAGGTGACTTTCCTTCCGCGAATATTAGGTTTCCGATCTCGTACCACTAGTCGATCATTTTTTCCCGTTTGAAGCCTCGATTTGCAAACGTTTCATCACCAATCGAGGTGATATCATCAGTGCGTTATTGTGGAGCGTAGTAGTGCGTAGCGGTGGGTTGGTGGTTGTGCGTTGGGTAGTGTTGTGCGTGTGTTAATATACGTGCTGCTAGCAGGGGATGACCTTTGGTCGCGATTAGTTGTTCGGTCGGGTGATTCCATTGGTTGCTCCGTTGTCCTGTATCCCCATTCGCCGATGCCCACGTGACCTTTGTACTCTTTCGTATTTTTTGAGACGGTTATGGACATCTGTTATCATTAACTTCACCATTCGTCTGCCATACTGCCTTGCTAAGGCCCACGCCTGCGGATGGTCTGGCGCCGGCCTGTGATGAGTACTGGGTGACAGCACGTTCCTACGTATACAATCATGAAGTATAATTGTTCGCGCCTAGAGGCTTGTCGGCAATTCAAATTGCCCGGCTCAGCGAACAAGCCAACGGCCACCATCTACGATACCTGAGCTACCAACATTTTCCTCTATAGAAAACCTCTATTTTCTCTTGTGGATTTGGTTACTGTTGATCTGGACGCAGGACGAAATGACCTTACTGACTTGCTAACCTAACATTATCGACGCTGTCTTCCAGTTGCGTGGAGCTTATGCTTCGAATGAATGTCAAACCTGAAGAATGATCACGACGAACGTGATCAACAGGTTTCTTTGATCCTAATGGAGATGTTTGTTGACAAATCCGGCGAAGTATGCCAGTGCTGTTGCACTCCAGAAAGTCAGTGGAGCTGATTCGTGCTCAAGATAACGAAAGTAATCGTTTTCACTAGTTGAGTTCGACCGGTGGGAGCTCACGGTCCCGATGACCTCTGTGCGTCAAACGGGTGACAACCAAACGTTTGTTGAACTAAATGGCCAGGTTACATTAACTGTTGTGTCTGTCTGAATAAAAGGTGTGCAAAACCTGAACATTGGTCTCTCGGTGAGTTCACGATTTGATCGTGGTGATGTGGCTGTGATTGCCGCACGAAATCAAACGGTACAGACTCAATTTACAGGCGCCACGAATGCTTGGTTCCATCAGTGTGATATTCAACCTCTCGGATGCGCGAATTAACAAATAAAACGGTAAAATTACCAGCTTCCAGATTATTCGATGTCACATCCAACTCGCAGAACAGTTCTGCATATACAGCGGGCTAGCTGGGTAGAACAAGATGCGGCTGGTGAACCTCATTCGGTATATGGCGCAAAAATGCAAGTCATCTTTTGGTAGACTTTCCTACTTGATATCTCACTGTAACATCTAATGCTGGTATATGTATTAACGGCGATCGATGTCTATAGAGGAGTGTGACATCCTTATAATCTGGTCACGTGTTTGCCTACAACAAATGTCGGTGCGCGACGTGGCCGGTAATGACTGCAGATACTATATTCTAAGTTGAGCTATCGTCAATGGACGCTAATACAGATTGGCTTTGTTTTCGAGAAAATTATCGGGGAACCGGGGTAAAAAAGAGCCGGTAACCCCGCTGACTTCACGATAGTCGGAGGATTCGAAAGGAACCTTCTGAAATAAGCCGCTAGGGATTTTTGACAAGCTAAGCGATGTGTTGTGCGGGTTCCGATGAGTTTTCAAAGTTCATTTTAAAAGTGCCGACAACGCCTCCCGTTTAATGGTTCAGGAGGCCAGTGTTTGTTACCTGTGCTTCAAGCCTAGCTGTAAAAAATCTTATCTTCCAGCTGTAACACCCGGTGCCTAGCTGCCATGCCACCCGGAGGAAGCACAAGGGCTGGGATACTGCCAGGTCACCCAGGCCCTGGCAGGGGAAGTCGAGTGGCAGAGCTCGGGTTCGAACCACGAACCTTCCGGGCAGAAGATTCGCGCTCTAACCACTTGGGCCATCTCGCTGTGACGAACTGTGTCCAATGGAAGTGCGACCACTTGAGTAAGTGTAAACAGTTTTTACACTACTTATCTGTTGCTGTTACGACGGCGCGACGTCAGCAATTGAGCTTCCGCTACCTGTGAAAGAAAGAATGTCCTGCAGTGCGGAGTCGTCTGTTGACCGGCACGAATCGACCGGTCACAAGTTACAACCGGTTCGACTGCCGGTTGGCTCACACGTAACAGTGTGTCACACAGCGAACTATCATTGTCACACCACTTAGGATCCTTCTGGCACAGTGATTGTCGCACGGCTCGTTACTGCAAAACTTGTCGGTGCTGAGCGAGATGATGGTTGTTGCCCAACAAAGTGAAAACGCTGAGCTTGTCACGATATTGCCCGTTTGACGTGCTTGCCATGCTAAAATAGGCGAGCAGCAATTGATCAGTAGGGGGATCGTAAGGGTATTCGGATTCTGCTGAGTAAACTTCCATTTTTCCACAAAAAAGAAAGTGAACGAAAGAAAAACACGTACAACTGTTTCCTGAAGCACTTGCAAAAGTTAAGGATCCAGTTCTGAGAGGAGACGCTCCGGCCGGGGGAAGGTTTTGGCATTTCCTCGAGGAGGGAGTGCTGTACAAAATTGTAACAACGTAAAGATATAGGACACACTGAGATAAACCGAAAAGTCATCGTCAGGTCTGTGAGATAAACCGAAAAGTCATCATCGTCAGCTCTATGAGTCGCGTATTCGTCATTATAGCTGGCACAGTTTCGTTCACCGATGGTTTGGGGAGAGATCGTGTGGATAGCTGCGCATCAGAGGCGGTAGGTGACATAATTGATGTGGGTTGCCAGTGGGCTTCCAACAGGGGAGGGAAACTTTGCATCGGGGTCCCCATCCAGGGAGACGACAATGACCCACGCACCTGATTTTGCTGGCAATGGCTTTCTTGCTTCGAAATGTTAAAATGCGATTCTCGTTTGGGGAATACTCGACGTTCTCATTGAATTATATACAGAAAGAAATGTTTTTACCGGATTTGTAGTCGCACTAGTTACAGCCCATCAATGAAGGATATGAAACTGCTGTATTAGCCGGTATGATCGCATCACGTCGTTCGCATGCTGGAACTGGTTGCAGAGCTGGCAGGATTATTCCCGAAAAGGAAGGGCCACAATGCCTTATGCCTGGGTATCCAATTTGAATACCATACATAGACAGCAAATGTCCCTAGCACCTCCTATTTCACCCGGTTACCGTACCATCTTTGATGAATTTAACTCGATTTGTTCTGTCAATGGCTTAAAAATACGTTTGGACCTTGCAGCGGAGTATGAAGGAGATCACGAAAAGTCTGCGCGTTGTCGGTGCTGCCCACCCTCCCCGGATGAGAACCTCATAAGCCGCCTGTGCGTGGTTGGGGACGCTGCAATATATGGCTGCCAGTGGATATCAGTGGCGTTCTTGACGTCAGTTTCCATCTAGATTGCCTGAATGAGTATCTAGAGTTGTAGGCACTTCGGAATGATTGTGTTAGGCTGGCACATACGTTGTTAGCCTTTTCTTCACAATGGGGCTTTCAAATGAATTGTTGTTGTCAGGTGGTGAAGTGTCGGTGTCGAACGCTGATGTGATGTTGCCGATGATAATTACTAAAAATGCTATGTAAGCTAGACGCTAAAACGTGGTAACCGATTTTCTATAGAGGAGAATGTCGGTAGCTCAGGTGGCGTAGATGGTCGTTGGCTTGTTCGCTGAGCTGGGCAATTTGGTTGCAAACGTTTCATCACCAATCGAGGTGACCATCAGTGCGTAGTTGTGCGTAGCGGTGGTTTAGTGGTTGTGGTAACCGATCTTCCACCCAGCTATGAATGCTTACCATTTTGTCGCAATGCTGCAACTATCTTCAGTGATCCGCATCGCCATTCCAATCTGCCTCAGTTGTATGAATCTGATTGTGGCTTTTAGTTGCATGTGACGGTCGGACTACATGTGATCTATCAAAAGGCAGAGGCACATACGTTGTTAGCCTTTTCTTCACATGTGATCTATCAAAAGGCAGGGCCTAAAGTGAGTAACATGCCGGTGCGAAAAGTTCTCAGATGTACACGCCTGTGCTGCCATGCAACGCTGCATCGACCATTACCTGTGTTGTTCTAGTGGGAACGATCATGAGATCATGGTGCCTCCAAAACGTTACATTGCACTCAGCAACCATAGAGACATGAGGCTCCTACGACGTGTGCTTCGCCCCCTGCTTAGAACATCGACTCACCTCCGTAACAACTGATCCGTTTTTTTCATGCGGCGATCCGATGATACTGGAAACTGGTTTCCTTTTGCTGTGCACAAGACTTTTCCGTTTCCGCTGGCGTATTCTGTCCAATGGCTGATGCGATATTCACTTAGCGTAAGTGGCTTGACAATCAGAGGTATAAGTGCGGATGCAAAAGACATGGAGAGGACAGTTCGTGTAGACTCAACACACCCTCATGAGGTAGGTGAAAACTCTTCGACATCCCGCGATCCGTTTCGCATTTCCTAGGGCTCATCAGCTAGGTGCAGTCCTTGAGACTCCGTCGAACTTATGTTCTTTAGCCCAACTCAGGCGGGATTCCACAACTACTCTCATTCGCATACGAATTTCTTTCTGGCGGGAGATTCGACTGAATCCATCCGAATTTCCGGACAATGTATTGCGATATCTCGAATATCGTACCAACTAGAGTATGCGGTTGCCTGGTGTCGCACATTTAGTTGAACAAAGCCATCATAAACGAGGGATAGGGCTGGGTTCAAGTTGA